GGATAACATGCATGAACACTTCTATAGGCGTTGGCCTCAGGTTTTTTCTTTAGATATTTATTGATACATGTTGGTCCAATAGTTTTTGCAGTATTAGCTTTATCATTTTAGCCGCCAGCAAATGCAACATTCTCTCAAACTACTAAATAATCTCCAACTGAACACCGTACTTGTGAGCTTGCATTTTTCTATTAGTCAAGAAAGATATTTGAAATATATTTCCTCTGGATTTTCATTATCTCTAAACCAAATAAAACTCCTCCAAAAGGATTTTCTCCCACAGATATTTTGATTGTGAGCTCCATGGATAATAAGAACCTATTGTCTTCACAGTTACATGTATAGTATTTTTCTCATTTTGAGCAACAAGGAAGGCCACTTGCATCTTCAATGCTTGTGATTAGACCTGGTTAGTCAAGGCTCTGACACAAATTCACATGGGGGAAGCAAATGATAACAAGGGAAAAATTGAAGCTCTCTCATCCAGAATCAGAAAAATTACAAACGGGATTGTTGAATTCAGTGAAAGAGAGAAACTCAGGTCCAAGAAGTGAGATGTATCTCAATTTGGCTTTTATAAATGTATAGCCTATTTGCATGAAAGATGAATAAAATATTCAAGTGATAACCCTCAAAGATTACAGAAGTAACCTCACATGGTAGAGACACAAATTTGACAGTTAGAAGCAAAAAAATGACTGAACAAAGGAAAGTATGACTCGCACAATCTTAAACAAAAATGTAAATAATAGAGACAGGCCAGAGGTTGGATATCACAAAACTAAGCCCCAACTAACATAGGAGCATATGTTAGGGAATTCAACAGAGTAGTCCTATATAATTCAGCTAGTGCATGGTCTTCATTAATGGCTTAACTAACGAATACAAGGGTAGTTGTGAAGCCCACAGCACTTCCTGTCATAGATTCTATTTTTGTTAGCTAATAAGATGAAGCACGAGACAAAAAAATCTGGAAACAGGAAGCCACTATTCCAATCACTAAAAGTTGTAATCCCCATTGATTTTATTTTTTCCTGACAGTTTTTATGTTTACTCAGGCAGAATAATTCAATTCAGCCTGATACTTGAATGACTTACACACACTAATCACAGAAACAATTAACAAATGGAGAGTGTCCTCACCTGCATATACGTGGAGATAAGTTAGGGCATGAGCAACATCAATAGAGATTTCAAGTCGCTGATTAAAATCCAAGATTTTGCCCCGCTGACCTGCCAGGAACAGCAGCCAAACTATGAGCACTAAAGTTCCACCACAAATTGAAATATTGGCTAATCATTTAGAGTTTGAAAACATTACCATCAAGATGTTCTCTAAGAGTCCCATTCGGCACATACTCCGTGATGAGAATACGCTCACTTCCTTTATCGACATAGCCAAGTAGCTTCACTAGATTTCGATGTTCAATTTTTGCCAGGAGTTCAACTTCACTTCTGAATTCAGTTGCTAGAGTTTCGGAGTATTCCTGTTCAATGGTTATATCTTGATATATGCACATCATGATATACTTTCGAAGGAAAACATTTGATAATGATCTATCTATACAAGTAAAATCTTGATGCTTTAGTGGGCACAACTACACTAAAATTATTGAACAGTCATTTTTGTTTCAAATCCCGAAAGATGATCTATAATGAGCAAATTGGGAATCCTACACCAGAAATTACTTCAGATATAGTAAGTATCCCCAACTAAGGTAGAGAAACTCCTTTTTCTTAATTGAAGCATAGAATTTTATCCAGCCAAACAGATCACCAAAAATCGAAGAAGAAAACAAAAACAATGATATATTCCACAGATTTGTTTAATTTATTGTGTTTGAAAATTTGTACCTCAAAAGGTTATCTTCTATAGCTCTTGCTAAATGGTGAAAAGGAACATGTGCCATTATCTTTTAAGCTGCTGAAAGAGTAGCAAAATGCTTTCTACCATATGATACTTTCTATTTCTTTTATGCATCTCACATCACTTAAAATTTATTTCCTTCTAATTTTTTTTTTCTCAAAGCTTTTGAGGAAACTCCATTCATCTAATTATATTGTTAGGAATATGTTTGTAATTGACTAACTTCGTGAAGTATTGTATAAATCTCAAACTTAATTCCATCGTGATGTAGTTCCAAAAAAGATCCGTAAGCATCAAGGAAGGAAGGAGTTCAAACTACAAGGCCATATCATGAGTTCTTCAATGCACCTTCAAATTTAGAACAAAGGTAATGATTTAAAGATATAGATCCCTTGGTTTAATTTTATACTTAGGATGATTAGGATTATGAAAATGAAATTGGAAAAATCCATAAATGACTCCTAGGGTTTTTCATTGCAAAAGTTTTTCTCTAAAACCTTAATTGTGTTTTAAAAAGATAGATTTAGCCATTGATCGGACCCTACTTGAGCAACGCCTTTTAGTGCTAAAAAGAACTAGTTTTACTTTGATTTTCGGCTTTGAAACTAGTAAAGACTGCCCTTTGCTCACTTACTTTCGACTACAGAGGTCTCCAAACATTGAGTTGGGCAGTGGGGACCACCCTTTGGCCCCAACTTTGGCCTAATTCCGAGCCTATAAATAGGGGAAGTATTCTAAAGCTAGGGTATCTCTTTTGTGACATATTTTTAGCCTCCTAAACCTTAAGAGATCATCTAAAAATCCTAAATCCCAAAGACCAAAGGTCATCCATCTTGAATCTTCTATTAAACTTCACACATTGAAGTAGAAGTTCTTGCTTGGAGTTGCAAAACCCATTGAAAGAGTGTGCATCCTGAGGACCTTGGTGTAGAAGGTCGCTTACAGAGTCTAAACTATCCATTGTAGTGGAGGAGGAGTTCAAGTGAATCTGTCCATAGCTCTAATGGGGGAATTCGAATGAGAGATTTATTGAAGGAAATGAGTATCTAACCACGGTATTGGTTGAGGTATAAATTCTCAAGTACTTGTCAATCGATTTTGGGTTAATGAATTTGGCTTAGTGAACCCCGAGTGGTTTCCTGCAGTTTTTTTGGTTGGGTTTCTGCATCAACAAATTGTTTGTGTTTTTTATCGCTTTAATTTTGCCTATACACTTGCAATTCACACACACGCTTAATATGAGTTTGAATGAATGATTGGTTGTCTATCAATTCATTAAAAAGGATTATGTAATCAAAGGCTTTGGTGCGACCGTGGTCATGGTGAGTTAGAGTGTAAATCAATCAATTGTCATATCTTTACATCTCATCATATGACGGGATTTTTGGGTTGAGAAAAGGGGTTCAAGAATTCAATTGACAAGTTAACTTTGTATTTGGTAATTGTGATGGGTTAGGTTTAAAATTGGTGATTGTTTGTGCCATAATTTGAGTTAACCTATTCACCTCCCCTCTAGGTAATGTTTAGCATCCCACATATAGAATCGTGAGGAAGGGAATGATCCACCAGACATCTCGTTTCCCCAAATATAGATGGAGTTTTCTTTATCAAAATCTTCAGCTGGGGTAGACTGCTCCACATGGATTGGAACAATAACAAAACATGTTCTTATGACAAAATAAAATGAGCAATTATACTGTCACGAGAGCAGAATATTATGTAGAGGCAGTATATTCAAAGTCATAAAAAGATGTAGCTTACCTTCTTTGCTCGTTTTATGGCAACTACCTGGCCATCTGGTAGCTGAGCCTTGTAGACAGTTCCAAACCCTCCTTCACCTAACTTAGATGTTGCTGAGAAATTGTGAGTAGCTCTAGCAACCTGATTCATATTGAGATGAACTGATCCAACTCTATTAAGCTTTGGCGAAATGGAAAATCTAGAAGGACTAGGTGGCACTCGCGTTGGACTTGCTGGAATCTTTTCAGCAACCGAATTCATTTCCAAAGACGAAACGGAATCCACTACAAGAGCAACATAATTTAAACATAAACATTGATGAGACTAAGCAAAAATGTATCAGAATGAATGCAAGATAACTAAAGAAAGAATATATGTTATAAATGAACTGCATAACTGTCATTTTTCACATAGAACAGATGGGGCAGAATTTTTCAACAACTGATTACTTTCTCCAAATTAACTTACTCAAATCATAAATGTCCATGTATATCAGTGGCACTCATTCACTGTTAGTGGTTTTTTCTTTAATTATTTATTTAGTTTTGGATTTCACTCACTTGAACTTTGTTCCTTCACAAGAACAACATGGGAAGTATCTCTCCTCCTTGCCCGAAAGCAGGGGCAAAGTAAACTGCAACACAGAATGAAAACTCCTGGGACTGCCATGGCCAACCTATTTGTGGTCAAGAGAGATTTGTGAGTATCTTTTTCTTTATTCGCCTGGCTTTTCTGACCAAAATTTTGTCCTGTAAATTCTTCTCTACCCGCCTCCCACAAAAACTTTCTTCCTGCCACCAGGCGTAACTCATCTGCAGGATAATACAAAGAAGTACTATTTCAAACAAGGTATCAGCAATCAACCATAACCTACGCATCTAAAACCATGAATAAAATAGCTGCATTTTTTCCCTAACGATGCTGGATGAGATGATTTGCTGAAAGAAACCTCAAAGCAAAATTTCATAATTGTGCAGACCTAATGAATGATCTGATCGGCAGTATTTATTTCTGAGGTCTCCTATATTGAAGCAATGATTTGCATGGAACAATTTGAGGGCCTTGCAGAACAAATCCTTGTTTACCAATTTCCCATTTATGTATAACAATTCATGACCAGGACCACTTGAATAGCTGAGATGATAATTTCCACAAGGCTTCGAGTGTATCAACAACCCAGAGGTAACTCCTCTAGACAATTGCACCAACAATAGCAGACTCAACACAATGGCTGCTGCTCTCAACGAACTATAACATTCAAATTTCATGTTTCAACACCAAGCATTAAAGGAGGCATTACGATTATTTAGGCTGCAGCCAAGAATAGCTAGACAAACAGTACATAGCTCTGAGAAGCACAATCCACAAGCTGTAATTCACCAACCTGACAAAGGAGAGAAGCCCAGATGGAAGTGTTGAAAGGTTAGAATAATAATCTGATCAGGTTCAAAGGATAAAAAATGCTGTAATCAGGCAAGCTCAATTTCCAGAATCCCGATGAAGTCAACCAAAGTCTTCAAAACCCAATTTGACAAATCGACTAAGGGGATAAACACATGTACGAAAAGAACTGAAAATCTAGAACCTTCTAATATTTGATTTCATAAATCTGAAAGAGCTAAAGACAGGTAACTTCAATTCCTCAGAGCACTAAAATTAAATCAAATATCCCAAACCCCCAATTCAGAAAACTGATAAACACTTCAATCCACTTCAATCCGAGTTGTTTCGAGAACTAGAAATCTAAATGCGAAGAATCCAAAGTGCGAAATACTCAGAATTAGACAAAAATTCTTAGATCTCCGATTTGCTAAATGCAGAAATAAGCTAAACCCATATGAGACAAGAGCTAAAAGCCAACGACTATTATTCAAAAGGGAGCTATTAAGATTTTTGGCTATACTTATCTACCCAGATTGGACATTTCCACCCAGCATGGTCCAAATTCTTTCACACTCAATCCACCAAACCCAAAAACTGAACTACCCAGATTAGAAAATCGCTAAAACTCGAAAACCACACAAAGAAAAGGTCTGAATGAGTTCTCAAATAGTGATACATTCGGTGCCAAACATAGACATGCCAAGAGTGTTACGTATCTTTTTCAATGGTCAAAAGATAGAACAAATTAAGGCCAAAATAACGGCGGTGAGAAAGCCAAACCTGAATAAAGGCGGCTGAAAGATTGAAGGAATAGAACTTAGACTCTGCTCGCTTGGATTGTTTCCTCGAAGAAGAATCAAAAGAAGGGTAAAAAGACCGGGCTATGTAGACGATAAAGGGCTCTGAGGTAATAATAGTATCATAACTTAGCCGTCTCTGCCTAATATTATATACACACAGCGATAACATTCCAAAGGTTGAACTTGGAAGGGGGAGGAATTGTTGACTGTTGGAGACAGAGAAGTGTCACCCACCTCCGTTACGTCCCAGAATGATCCACCAAACGGGTCTTTGGTTCATTTTGGTCAGCTGTACAAGCACGTGGTTTGACATTTTGCGGTACCACTCTCTGTTGTACAGTGGTGAATCGCATGTTGATGAATTATTTACGAATGTACAACTATTTTTAAATAAATTTATCAATCTATAACAGTATTAAAAAAAACTGTAGATTAAATAATTAGCATATTGATAATAAATATTGAATATAAAGTTTACACTATATTATAATAATGATATGCATATGTGGATAAGTGAATTTCATGTAAAATAGCTATTCAATGACATGAATGGATCACCTATTGGGTCCCATTATGATAGAAAAAAATATTTTTTTGATAATATATTTTTATTTGTTTATCAATAAGAAAATATTATGTTTACATTTTAATCATTTTTAAAATTTATTATTTTTAATTAAAATTAAAAATTATTCAATTAAAATTTAATGACAAAAATCGATAAAGATATGGTACCAAAATCAATACTGTAGCCTTATCTCTCACTTTGTTTAGATAAGTGAGATGGACTTAATTTAAATAAGAAAAATATATTTTTTTTCTAATTTAAGAATTTAATTTGAAAAATTAATCAATTATAATATTGAATTAAAAATAAATTTCATCAAACACTAATCGTATATTTAGTGATAAGGAATATACTTTCTATTGATAATGGAAATAAATTTGGTTTTATTCCTTTTTTATTTCATTTGATGAATGAAAAGTTAGATAGATGAATTTACCATTTATGTCATCATGTATAAAATTAATTTACAATTATTGTTTAATAAGAAAATAAAATGCATGTGTAATTTCCAATTTTATCTACATAAAATAAAATACAATGATTGAGATGATTACATGTATTATCTCATGTTAGTTAAATAAAAAAATTCGGATAAAGTTATGCTGCACAAATTATTGTTGAAATCTAGCTGGAGTCCTCGTCCATCTGGGAAGTAGCAGACACTCTTTGGCATTTGAATTTACCAATATAATTACTCATGACAAAGGTTTAGGTTATATATTTTTTTAAAAAAAAAAAAGAAATTTATAGATTGAAACAAAGAATTACAAGACAGTTCATACAAAACCCCCAATCTGCATTTCATACAAAACCCAAAACAGCAGCGAAGCTTCCCAGACAGCAAAAAACCCCCCAATCTACGCTTCATATAATCAGTTTCGTGGTGCAATATCGCAGCTTCGGGAAAAAAGGGCACAAATACAATCTGGGGTGGAGATCCTTTGCTGGATCAATCTGTTCCAGCGAAGAAGACAGCAACCAACGGTTGGAGCAAACGACATCACAACGAGTAAGATGACTGTTGGGATTTCGTTTTTCTGGAGAAGGCAACAAACTGCAATTTTCAGGGGTTTCGTTTGGCATGTGTTTTAACTTAAGAGAGGCCAAGCAAACGACGTCGTTTGTTTGTGTCTTTTTGCTGGAGCAGACTGGTGCCAAAACGGCGCCGTCCCACTTAACAGCAAAATCTGCTATTAGACTCCCAATAACACGTAAGCCACTCCTATCTGCTAGGATACATACGTCAATGGACATAATTGCGTCAAAGAACTGAAGTAAATACTCCTCAACTTTGATCCATCCCTGAATGCTAAATTGGTTTGTTCTATCTCCAAAACCTTAGCCATATAATCAAGCGCTTCAAGACAACTTTCGGATAAGCTTAGTGTGGTCCATGATCAAACATTCTTGTCTGAATGAATTCATAAAAAAGATCGCATAAATATGCCAAGAACTAGTGTATCATAGCATAGTACGCCTTTTTTTTTTTTTTTTTGGCTTTAAAGGCAACTTGTAGTTGTAGGTCAACAGGAAGAAAAAGGAATGGGAAATGAGAAATATCCACTGTTGAAGAAAGAAGGACTAAAGCAAACTCCATCAATTAAATATACATAATTATCATTGAAGGGAAAACATTGTAGTTTTCATCAAAAGAATTTGTTCCTCAAAACCCACCGTGCACCCATTCCTCAAATCAATATACACAATTGTCATTGAAGTGAGAATTTGAAGAGACAAGTTCAATATGGTTATTATTTTTTCTTCATTCAATGGTAGTATAAGAACCAATAGTTTTTGTTTTAACTCACACATTGAATGCAGATGAAATACATTAAAACCATAGGGTGTAAACCTCAATATGAATTAGTTTAAAGTATTATTAACCGAAATTTTAAGGCCTAGAACTTAAGTAATTGTAGTTACTATTGGATAAAGGATAGAATTGGCTTTATAAGATAAATAAAGGGTGTCTTTTGTATTTTTAGTGGGGACATAAATAGCCAATAAATTTTTTTTTCATTTTTGTTGATATTTTATTTCCTGTACCTGAAGACACGTAGTAATAAAAAAATGATCAACAATAAACATATTTGTATTCATATTCAAATCAAATTACAAAGATAGAGAAAAGAGAAAGAAATTTAAGCATTTGGGTGTACTTGAGGTGAGCGGTGGTAGTGGTAGTGGTGGTGGAAGATAGTGATGATTGTGATGAGTGACGACGATCGGTTGTGATGGTGGTGGTAGGGCAGTGAAGTTTAACAACATTTCAAGATTTCAAATTGAAGTTGAAGTTTAACTAACATTTCAAGATTTATTTTTTATTAATTATTAGCTTTTTTTATTGATAATAACTTTTTAAATTGTACCTTGACACTTAAATATTATATTTTAATTCGTAATAATTATATTTTTTGTTTGATACCTCTTTTAATAGCATTGATCAACCTCAATTCTAGATGAAGATAAACTATTTACTCATCCTAATACCGCATTGGGAAAAAAAATTAATACCATATTGAAAGTCATTTTTTTGAAAGTAAAATTATCATTTTAAAAGGTGAAGTAACAATTAATTAAAAAAATTATGCTCGATCATGAATTTTTAGGGGTTATAATTAACCTATATAGCAATCATAATTAACCTATATATAAAATTTGAAAGACTTCTTATTTTAAACAATTAAACTACACCCATTTAAACAATGAAACCAAATCAAGATCTAATGAACCCATCCACACTCACGCACAAAGAAACTCACACAATTTTTTTTTCTTATTTATTTATTATTTTGTTTTTGCAGGGGGAAGGGGAAGGGGAAGGGGGAGGGGAGGATGACTTGAACTCTTAATCTCAAGAAGGTCAAGCCTTTACAAGACAAGAAATACTATTGGACTAAAGCCCTATTGATAAAAACACACACAATAAGAGCAAGTTTATAGAACCAAAAACATCCCTAAATTTATGAATCATCTTCCAAATTAAGGGTGCGGACACATAGCTACAAAGCAAATTAAAAGACAAACTTACAAATAAGTTCAAACTCCATCAATCAACCTCCAAGTAACCCAAACACACATTCAAACTATTTAACCCCAATAATAACTATTTTGGTATAATCCCAAAATTATCTGAAAAGTTTATTTAGAAAAAAAAACACATTCCATAAACCCAAGCGACTCTCTTAGGACAAACATTCCCAAGTAGTCAAAGAAAAAAATAATCTCAAGAAACATAACACCATATGTTACTCCTTCTATTTCTAAATATCTGTCATTTTACACAATTTTTTTTATTCCATTATATCTGTCGTTTAATGAAATCAAAGCATAATTAATATTTTTTCTTCTAAATTTACCTTTATCTCTGTTTTTCAATAAGTATTTAATATATTAAGTGTAGGCTAAGTGTCTTTCATATTCATTTCCTTCCAAATACGTATTGAATAAGGGTATTTTAGTCTTGTGTAATTATTTTTTACTCATACTAGAGCTATTTAATAACTTCCTTAATCTCTGTGCAAAAACCTTAAACTACAGATATTTAGGAACAGAGGGAGTAATTCACAATTACAACCAACTAACAATTGCAGCCATGTAAATTAGCTACCTTGGTGAAAAAAAGGAGGAAAATTGAAAAGAAAACCAACACGTACCTTTATTTTCTTTCCAAGAATCTCCTCTTGAGCATTGTATCATTTAAAAGCAAGTGAGTTTTTGATAGATGGGTCCTAAGCATGGAAAAGGAACATTAAGTTATCTACTCTTATTTTCACATCTCTAAAAACACTCATAATAGTTCAATCCTTAATATTCAACTCTTCAATGCTCAACCTCATGGAATCAAAGAACAAAAGGAATTTGGCATATTCCTTTAGTATTTTCAATTTAAACACCAATCTTTGCATTGAATTAGATTATTGGTAACACAACTCTATCAAAAACTACTTTAGAACTTCAAGTATACACCAAACCAAATGACTTTTATTGATCAACAAAAATAACATAAAAGCAGACAAAATCAATGTCGTGCTCATAGCCATTAACCACCATGATAGACACATAACAATTAACCACTGAGATATACACAAACACGACACCAATGGCATAACCCACTATTGACATAGTACTAACAAAGCGTAGATACAAGCCAAAGATTTATGAGCAATGATAAAAGAATCATGAGCTCATGTTTTGCTTTCTTATTGTTTATAGAATTTCATCCATACAATGCAAGGTACTTGGAAGATGTCAAAAAAAAAAATCATCTAAACATACCTGCAACTAATATAACTTTTTAATTTCAATTTGTGATTCATTGAATAAGACAAATTGACAACTGTCTGTCAAAAAACATTTTTCTCATAATAAGCATGTAATTGTTGTAAATAAATTAGACATAAAAAGTCGCACCTAATATAGAATTTCAAATGCAAACAATTCAATTGACAAACCTATTCTCTTTTCATTTTCCATGACCCTCCGCATCGATTACGCCACTTGATTTTCAAAAAGTAAGTTTAAAAAAGGGTTCTCGACTGAAGTGCATATCACCTAAAGTGCCTCAAGTGTAATTCAAAACCATGCATTTACGTCAAAGTATTCAACCAACAATAATGCCCTTATACCTAGGTCTCTTATATACATGCCCTTAGACGATGTCATCCATAACACAAACATGTATATATACGTATTTTTATAACTTGTCAAAACAGAACTTAAGATCAAAATTGCTCAATTTCTCAATCGCGTAACTCTCGACATCATTACATCGCAACAAATTATGACTCAAACTCACTAATCACCTCACATCATCAAACAAATCAATAAAAATAAATAGCAACAAAAACTATCATGATCAAAATGACCCTAGTTGTAGTAAAAAAGAATTGAATTACAATCGGAATTAATTAAAATGATTTGTTTGGGCCTTGAATTAATATACTGCATAACTCTAGAAATTAATTGAATTATATGCACACACTCACATACACACATAGTCAAACCAAATTCACATGACCACTACCGTAGCAAATGACCATTACCATTAACACCAATATTCAATGGAGCATCAAACAATCTTAAGAGGAAGCAACCAGTTACAATGTTAATATAATGCATAATCCAGTGATAAGATGATATCATAGTTCAAGAATTCATTGACCATGGTAAAGCTTGAAAGTGCAAGGTTCATCTCCGTTCGTCGTCGAAGTAAACTTGGATCCATCAAGTAACATGCATACATAGTGAACTGGAAAACACAATGATGAAAATTGTAAGTAAAACTTAAAAAAAAAATTATCACTTGAGAAAACATTTAAGACAAACCAAAAAAAAATAAAAAAAATCTTTAGCTATTAACATCACAAAAACATACACCACATGAAACTCATCCACTGATGCCTAAAAGAACTTGTAAGCCTCCCCATTCTATTCTTTATATAGCAATGTAATTATGTTTTGAAATGCTAATATATGCAATGATGTATGCATGAACTAGGTGGATTGTAAGAGTAGAGATTAAATGTTAGTTGAGGTAATAGACAGTGTTGTAGAAGTTTGGAAGTATTCTGGAGTAAAACCACACTTTAGACAAAATTTGGGTAGAAAGAATTTTGGACACTTTTTAATATTTGGATCACAACCTTTTATTCTGATGTCCATGTAATCTGAAATTTTTACAATAGATAGTAGACTTCTAGGGCTACAAAAGTGTATTTCATGAAAAATTTTCAAATCGACCTCTAAATAGGCCAAAACTTCACTGAAAGTTTCAGCAGAAACAGGAAGTCCGTTCGAACGTGAAATGACATTCAAACGACTTACATTCGAACTTGAAAGTCAGTTTGAACGACAATGCGTTCCAGTAATTTTTGTCTAATGAAAAAACAAAAGTATTGGGAGCAAAGGACGTTCAAATGTCAATAACGTTTGAACGTGGGCTACGAATTTTGATTTTCAGAATCGCACACATGACACTATTTTCTTCCCTTATAAATACATAAGGGCGCCTCCTTTAGCCTCCATACACCATATACAACCCTAAAAAGCCTTGAGAAACAAGAGAGAAAGGAAAAACACAAGATCAAAGAGGATTTTTACTTTGAAGTGGATCAAAATCTCAAGTTCTTCAAGAACAATAATGCTCCGTTTGGTAGGGAGGATGAAAAGTAGGAAGGATACACTTTATATTCTTAAAAGATGGAAAATAGGAAGGATACACTTTCCTTCCTTTGTGTTTGGTTGGATGGATGGAAAATAAAAATAACTTTTTTTTTTTTTAATTTTTTTTTGTGCTGGCT